GTCTGAAAAGGCCGCACCCGGGCCAACAACTCCAATGATAGCAGCAGCGAAGCTGATCCAGGCCGCACTCCTCTCCACAACTCCTGTGCTAGGCACAGCTGAAAACAGGCCGAAAAATATCCACCCGTGCCAGGAGCAACCGGTGCAATCAAGCACTTCGCTTGACTGCCACAGAAAAAATGGACGCTACCATGTGGAGGCCAAGGGCTAAATAGCCCTAAAATCTTGCGGGTAATCTTGCGAGACCTAAAGCCTTGTGAGATTACCCAGTGTGCCTTGGATCCTACATGATCCAACCCAATTGGCTGGGTGGCACAGGAAGGCCAGGATTTCCTGCCCGCCCAGCCAATTAGGTGTCAGCTTCCTTTTGAGAGGCTGGTGCAACAGAGGACCCCTCCCTACATGTCAGGGGAGTGTCTTTCACTGCAAAACTGTTCACATCCTGAACTCAAGGGAGCTAGTAACATTTAACATGAAGAAAATTTAATTGGGAGAAGGCAAAATTCTGATTCTCTCCTCTCCTCTATGCCCACCACTGGTTAGTATATTCAACCAACTAGCAGATACAGTAGCTTGAAGATAGCAAATGCACTAGCTAAATGGCAAAGACTCAGGCATAGAAGGAAATTGCTTGTTCCACCAAGAGGAAAGATGGTATTCAAGAAATAACAGTATGGGATTGGAAGCCTATATGGTGAGGGAAGATTCAGCTGGCAGTGGACCACAGGAAGGAAACAGAATGGTATAGGAAAAAGGACTAAAAGTTAAAACAGGGGATAGCTCTCATTGATGTGTCACAAGATCTGGGCATAAGGATGAAGGTATTTTCAGGCTGGGTGTTGTTTACATAGTTTGTTTACAGTGCTTCTGAGATCCTTGGTAGCCAGTTCTGTAGTGTTGAAGGCTTTCTTATTTATCTGTTTTAAAATGCCAAAAGACTTTTTGGACAGCACCTTTCAAATGTTAATGGACTACCTTGCACTACTTACTCCACCTGGCTCAAGATTCAGGTAAGTGCTTCATCAAAAGGTGAAGTTTTCTCTTTTCCCTCTGGGTGTGCAAGGTGACGAATGGACATCTATAGATCTATAGGTAGTTCAGGAAAGGAAAATGGGGAATAACCCAAATATGAGGCATGATATGAGAGAACATTTGCATGTCCTAGGAAGATGACAGCCAGCATCCCCACTTGGCCATGAAACCCACTGGGTGACTTTGGGCTAATCACATGCTCTCAGCCTCAGGGGAAGGCAATGGAAAACTTCTGAACAAATCTTGCCAAGAAAATCCCATGATAGGTTTGCCATAAGTAAAAAATGAAGGCACACAACAACAACAACAACAACAACAACAACAACAGGAAAATTCTCAAAGAGAAATACATGCACTAGATTTATCTGAGGATTAAGAAGCAAATTGAATGAATGAGCTGCTGTTTGAGCTATAGCCAGTTGCAGTATTCTTCACAAAGGGTAAAGGGATTGTTTGCTCATGAACTGGGTTCAAGTTTGCTCATGAGCTGGGAATAAAGACAAAGAGGACAAACATCAGTTCCACTAGTTAAATGGAAAATGCAGTTGCTTCCTTCACATAAACCTTCAAAAAAAAAAAAAAAAAAAGGAAGCAACATACTTAAAACAAGGACTGATTAATTCTGTGGCGTGTAGTTTGGTTGCACTAGGAACATTTTGATCAGGTGTATGAGTTGAGCTATTGCATTGCAGGCCTTTTGATAAGCCAATTAAGGCATGCTCCAATGAATGAGTCAGCTGTGTGGTGACATGGTCATTAAGAAGATATATGCACACTTTCTTGGTCATAGGAGAAGCACTCCCCTTTAATTCAATCCAATTTAATTTGACAAAGCAGCACTAATTATTAAGCTTCCTAGAGAGCACAAATATCCAAACAACAAATAGAAATCTTGATAACTGAGCTGCAAGATTCAAGGTAATGTCCAATTAGAAACAAGAAACACTACAAGCACTACATACACAACAGAAAACACTACAATACTACATTTTGCATAGGAGTTTCAGACATCATGAAACTCCTATGCAAAAGAGAACAGACTTTATTCAGTTTCACTATGACTGTATACAAGTGCCTGTTGTCTTGAACACAACTTGGAGCATTACTAGATCCATTTCAGTCTAGTTTCAGGTCTGGCTATGGAACAGAGACAGCCTTGGTTGCCTTGGTGGATGACCTACGCAGGGAACTGGACAGGGGGAGTATGTCCCTGTTAGTTCTAATGGATCTCTCAGTGGCTTTTGATACCATCAACCATGGTATTCTTCTGGGCCACCTCTTTGGCATGGGACTTAGAGGTACTGTTTTACAGTGGCTCTATTCCTGGAGGCTTGAACCCAGAAGGTGGTGCTAGGGGACTTCTGTTTGATGCCCCCGGCCATTGACCTATGGGGTCTCTCAATGTTCTGTTTTGTTCCCTACACTATTCAATATATACATGAAACTGCTGGGAGAGGTCATCCGGAGTTTTGGGGTGCAGTGCCATCAATATGCAGATGACACATAACTCTACTAATTCTTTCTACCTCAGCACAAGGAGGCTGTCCTGGTCCTAAATTGGTGTCTGTCATTAGTACTTTAAACTTAATCCAGACAAGACAGAGTGGCTCCTGGTCAATTGAAAGGCAGATCAGGGAATAAGGATACAGCTTGTATTAGATGTGGTTACACTCCCCCCTGAAGATGCAAGTTTGCAGTATAGGAGTACTCCTGGACTCAGCTTTGCACCAGGAAACCCTTGTCTCTGCAGTGATCAGGAGTGCTTTTGCTTGGGCGTCAACTGTGCCTGTTCCTTGAGACATCCAATATTGCCACAGTGGTACATGCCTTTGGTACATCCCATTTGGACTACTGTAACACACTATGCTTGGGGCTGCCTTTGAAGAGTGTTCAGAAACTTCAGCTGGTCCAAAGAGCTGGAGCCAGGCTGTTAACAGGGGCAGGTTATAAAGATCACTCCTGTTGAAACAGCTCCACTGGCTACCAGTTTGTTTCTGGGCACAATTCAAAGTGCTGGTTATGACCTATAATGCCCTACATTGCTTAGGTCCAGGCTATTTGGCATTCCATAGCTCCCTGTGTGAGCCAACCCTGGCTCTGAGATCCTTAGGATCCTTCTCCCCATCCCACCACCATTGCAAGCACAATTGGTGGGCACATGAGAGAGTGCCTTTTCCATGGCTGCCCCTAGACTCTGGAACTCCTTTCCCAAGAAGACCAGAGTGCCTACTTCCTTCAAATTGATTAGACACTTAAGATAAAATCTCAGTTTTCATAAATTTAAACAAACATTATGTATATGTACATTAGCATCCTTTTTTTTATTAGGCAAGCTATTAAAATGTATTTAGTGATGCATATTCTTATGCATATGTCATAATAACCTGTGTCATTTAGCAGTAAAAATCATTTATGCCACTCGTTAAATGACATCAGTTTTATTGGGATGTTAATCTTTTTGTTCACTCTGCACCTCTATCATTCTCTCTTCTGCCAGTCACTCTTTGCTGACGGGCACTTTGCCAGTTAGGTTCCTTGTGGTGTGGCTGATACCATGCTTCTGATATTTCTGACTATGATGTGCTTGACACTTTTGAAGCTACTTTTGTTCTTCCCTCTGAAGACCAAAAGGAAGTGTGAATTTTCCCCTATTTTGATTGATTTGGCTTCCTTTGTTATTACTGGAAATGACAAGAGATTTTTTTTCATGGCGAGTACTTTTATTGATCCTCTCTTTGGCATTTTTGACTGGCATCTGTATAGTTTTGCAAGTTCCATTTTAGATGGTTCCTTTCATGGCTGGAGTTTGAAAATAACTATAGTTCCATGAAAGAATGAGACAATATGAAGGAAATTACATGGAATCCAGTAAAAGTGAATATATAACACCATCTGCATCAATATAATGAACAAACTGGTGTGAAAGTTTATCTACTGGCAAACACCATTTGAACCATTTCCGAAAACATTTATGCTTCACTCAATTCTTCTTCAATTTCTAGAAGGTCCGCTTATATTTTCCTGTGAAAATTCTAGAACTTTCCCATCCAATAGATGTACTTAGTCAAGAGCTCTTAGTGAAGCTGTTTCTTTGTTTTTTTATTTTTAAAAGAGATTTCATTATTTCATCAAGGTAATAGCTCTACTTTTATTCATAGTAGCTGCCAGATGTAAATGAACCACAACAGAAACTGAAGCATGTATATAAAAACATACTTCATAGTGCCTTGTTCAGCCATGCACATGACAATGTTTTTAAAATATACTCTTATCTGTTGAATCTGTAATCAAAATGGATCCTAGTTTTGGCATGATTCAACTTTCTTTAGTATGATAATGGGAAAGCTATGGGCAACATAGCTGAAGTGTATCATCACTCTTCCAGGTAAACAAACGATTAATAATATGATGGGCCATTCAAAGATATAGCCATGTTAGTCTGTAGAATCAGTATGTAGAGAGATCTTGTAGCACCTTTGAGACTAACTGAAAGAAAGAAATTGGCAGCATGAGCATTCATAGATTTTAATTTGCTTCCTCAGATGCATTTGGTGGCGTGGAGGCCAGGCACAGACATATATATTTGAGGATGTCAATTCAAATTACAAATACTTTGTATATGGAAATGAAGTGGAAGGTCCAATCTTAACGATGGTCATTAGTACACAAAGGCATAGGAACTGGATCCCCATGCACAAAGATCAGTTTCATATGTTTTTGTGCACTAACAACCATCGTTAGGACTGGACCTGTCACTCTATAGACAAAGTATTTGTAATTTGAATTGACATCATCACACATATATGTCTGTGCCTGGCCTGTACTCCACCAAATGCATCTGAGAAGTAGACTAAAGTCTATGAAAGCCCATGCTGCCATTTTCTTTCTTTCAGTTAGTCTCAAAGGTGATACAAGATCTCTCTACATGATGAGTCATGTTATATTTATTAGGGTACACATCATAGGGAACCAGCATGGTATAGTGGTTTGAACATTGGCCTGAGATTCTGGAGACCAAGGTTCAATTCCTTGCTTGGCCATGGAAACCTACAGGTTGACTTTGGGCAATTCACACATTCTCAGCCCCAGAAAATCCTGAGAAAAATTCACCTTAGGTTTGTCATAAGCTGGAAGCTTATGTTTTTGTGTTGTTGTTGTTGCTGATGATGATGTTTGAAGACAAACATCAGCAGCAGCAACAGCAACAACAACATAGAGAATACACAGAGAAAATGAGAGACAATTGCTCAATGGGATGACAGCTTATAACAAGTGTAAAGCTTTGAAACGCTTCCAAGATGAAGGTAATAAAACACAGACTTTTGAGACTGGGAAAGACCCAAGAAACTTTGTGATTGCCTCACCATCCCTAGGGAAGCTTGGTGGCAGGCTGGCCAAGAATATCCAGACTCCTAGCTTCCCATGAACATCCAAGACTCAGGATACCATCAGTATTGTGAGTATAACAGGAATGCTTAGTTAGGAATGTTTAGTGGGTGATGGCACCTGATAGAATTTGGGGGTCCCCTGTTCTATTCAAGATCAGGAAACAGGAAATAGCCCATTACAATGGTAACATTAATACATGTTGTCTCACATAACTAAATCATATTTTTGTCCTCACAAATGCCATAAATTTGGAAATTTCCAAAGAATCGGAAAGGAATGCTAGATAAGGAGTTTTTTTTTTTAAAAAGGAAAATAGATAAAATAGAAAATAGAGTGGATTAAAGGTTAGAGAAAGAGAGAAAGAGAGTATAAAGGAAAAACTTACAGGTATAAAGATTTCATGGTTCCACTGCATGCAATTAGAACAATGGATTATAAACTGGAGGAAAAGGAATGTAGAAAAAAAAAAGAGGGGGAACAAAAGAGAATATTTTGAGAGGGATATGATAAAAAGAATTAGGATGTAAAATATGTGATAATGAATGGGATAGAATTTGGGAATAAAGACATTTGAAGAATCTATCAGTACGGATTTAAAAAAATACTATAAATTGATATGGAAATGGTATTTGACACCAGTGGGATTACATAATATTGATAAGAATAATTTGAAAAATTGCTGGATAGGTAGGGACATATATGCATATGTGGTGGCAATGTAAATATGTACAGAAATATTGGGAAAAAGTGATTATAGAAATAGAAAGTATTATGAATGTAAAAATAGATAGAAGTCAGAATATAGTACTTTTATCACTATATAATTCAGAGAAATGAAAAAAATAAAAAAAGACTTGATAACAAATCTGCTTACAGCAGTGAGATTAATAATAGCAAGATGTTGAAAAACAAAAATAATGTACAATTAGAGGAATGGTATAAAGAGGTGTGGAAACTAGTGATCAATGATAAATTGACATATAGAATGAAAGTAAAAAAATGATTATGGAAAAAATGATTTTGATGGAATTTGGAAAGAATTCATTGAGAAAGTATTGAGAAAAGAAGATGGAAATTTACCTCCATGGGAGAAATTGAGATTCTGGTCAGAATACAAGGGTGGAAATGGCTCAGGGGAATGGGAGCATGGAGGTGGGATATAAAATGTAAAATGCATTTAGCTAAGTTGTAATAGAATGTAGAGAATATAAGTATGGAACTATGTATTGTATAAAACATACATGTATGAATTTTAGTTTCAATTTTTTTTTTACAAAAATGCCATAAATATTTATTTAAATTCTAGGTTTTCCCCAATAAATGGACTCAGACAGCTTAATAATTATTAAAACCAGTACAGATTTAAAACATAAAAAATATCTATCTATCTATCTATCTATCTATCTATCTATCTATCTATCTATCTATCTATCTCAAAACAGCTAAAATTTATACAATTAAAACCATTTAAAATTCATCAAAAGGCAGAATATAATAACCACCAAAACAATTACTAATAAAAGTTCGTAAAAACCTGTTGGAATAGCAAATTTCTCACTTGGTGGTGGAAGAAGATCAAGGAGGTAGTAGGGATGGAAATAATATTCAAAAAATATTCAAAAATGTTTGAAAGACATGGGGGGGGGGGGGTTAGTGCTGAGAAACCTTGACAAGAAGAATGCTGGACTGATAAGAATCTTTGTAGCTTGGAATTATGTGCAAAATTTGTACATGGCTGTTTTGCACTGTGCCCAGACTATGGAATGCCTTGCCAGAGGAGATCCATCAGATAACAGCTTAGAAGGCTTTTAAAAAGCCATTAAGATGTATCTCTTTTGGCAGGCCTATCCAGAATAACTACTTGTTTGTTTTTCTACCATATCCCCCCCATGTTTTTAGAATGCCTAATGTTTTTTAACTCTGTTTATGGTTTTAATCTATGTTTTTAACTGATATCTGAATATAATCTATTTTTAAGGGGGTTAGTGTGTTTATTAATATGATTTGTTGGTTATTGTGGAATAATTTATGTGCTGTTTTAGATGTAAGCCACCTTGACTGCTTCAGCAAAAGGTGGGGTATTATTATTATTATTATTATTATTATTATTGGACAGACTCACACGGTTACATTTAAGCAGAAGATATTGAAGCATAGGCATCTTTGTTATTGCCACTGGGAGAACTATAGTAACAAAGCTCTGTCCAGGATAATGTAAATATCTGTAGACCTCAACAGTTAACCATATGGCAGGATTCTCGAGTGGGAAGTGTTACTGGCATGATGTGTAATTATCTTGCCCCCACCCCTAGGGTCAAACAAATGTACTTCTCAGCATTCAAGCTTGGAACAATTAATTGTCTCTGGAAAATGCCTATTAACCTATAACATATGATGCACATTACTGCAACTGTGCTAACACATCTCTTGATGCCACAGTCCAGTGCATCTGAATATGCTTTTATATGTTTTTGATTTTGATGAAGATTGACTCAATACTAAATAAGATAATTTTGTCTAGCAAATTACCTCAATTTCTGGCTACATTATAGACAGAAATTGTTTCAGCCTTTCCTATATAGACTGTCTGTGATTATGTAGTGTATTAAAGTATTTTTATGAAACCCCCAAAAGCTCATTCTAACTTTATGTTCCTGGCAAATGCAATTGTCTTAGGTTGTTAGAACTGATGGTTCACCTTTCTTTCTTCTCTAGTTCATAAAGGTTGGAAGTAGCATATAAATGTGCTTGTTTGCTCATTCACCTGCAATGCAGAATCATAAACTAAGAGATATTATTTATGAATTTGCTAGTGGTTTGCCTAAAATGTCTACCTTATGATAAATGTGTCTCTAAATTATCCCAAATTTAGAGGAATAATAATTGTGATTATTCCAGAATATGGTACCCTCTGGATGTTTCAAATCTACAACTCCTTTTATCCCCAGCTAGTTAGGAATGATAGGAACTGTAATCCAAAACATCTGTAGAGTATTGAGTTGGAGAAGGCCTGTTATTTAGTCTAAGTAGAGTAGATCTATTGAATAACTGGATTCCAGCAAAAAAAAAAAAAAAGGACAATCAGTAGGCCTGTGAAGGATTCTGTTCAATAACAGTATGTGCCACACAGTTTTGGCTGGGGCCCAATGTTCTCACTGGATCCAATATATGCTGGTGGATCATAGGTCCAATCAATAATGAACATACTAATTGACTATGGATGTAATGAATGGGGGATTCAAAAGGAATATGGAGTGCATTTAAGTCATTGTGAAATGTTAGTCATGGTTTAAGATTTCAGTGAGACCTAAGTGCAACTGAATCTGTATCTAACTATGGCTGAGATCCTAAGTTGCTCAAGATAATGTAACAATTCTAAAGACAGTACTCCACTATGGCTGTCTATTCACCATCCCCAGAATTCATGGACTCACTATTGGCTGTTCCATGGTTGGTGAAGAACACGGGTGGACAGACTGATGAAGCATCTGGCTTTTCCTCATACTCAGATGCAGACCAATGACATCTTCTGCTGATATTCACCATGGGTTTGGTGGATGATGTCATCCACCTATGGGGATAGCTAGATACTTCTCTGGTCCTTCACATCAGCCACAAAATGGCCCTTCAGGTGACGCTGTTACAGAAAAACTGTGAGTCCTGCAGGATGGGTTTGGTTGTTGTGGAAAGTGGAAGGGAATAGCAACCTTTGCAATGACCACAACAAAAAAAGTGGGCTTATGCCTGTGCATGTCACCAATAGGATACAATACACACACACACATATACAAAATGCACTTTTACTTATTCTGTTCATCACATGGTGCTAAATGAATTTCAAAAACCAACATAAGTAATCTAAAAAGATAGGCAAATATAGTATGTTTGTGTATTGAAAATACAATATTTTGCTCTTTTCTGATGACTGGTTATCTTTGCATAATCAACTTCATATTGGCTATTTCAAGGAAAGCAGTTGTGTATTTCCTTTTTCCATCAGTAATCTTTCATTGCTACCTATTGTTGCTAGGACAACATCACAATTTGTCAAAGAATAACATGACAAACAACATAATGTGATTGATTTGCTATAACTTGTGTTTGTAGCATTCACCATTTTTTTTAAAAAAATGTACATTTTAGGTCTGCATTTTGCTAAATATAAACTATTCTACTAAAACAGATTTTTTCCCCCCTGAGCAATATTATTCCCCACCGTACTATTCTTGGAAATTGCTACTTATTGTGGATTTAACCATATTCTTCTGCCTTGCATAAATAGTTTATAAGGAAGCAAGATAAGACAAGCTGCAAAAATAGACACTTATTCTAATAAATTGTTTAGATTATGCTCCTGATGCACTGAAATGTTTTCCCACAATAAATTACTTTTACATATTATCATATTATTTCTTGAGAAATTATCCTCTATATTCAGATGCATTCTCCTCTTAATATGCCTGTTACTCTCTTCCTTTCATCTTTCATTCCTTTCCATCACTAATGAAGCAAAGAAGTAGAGAATAAATCATGATTTTAATATTTAATGTAGAACTGAAGCAAAGTAACAAGTTCCTATAATATATTTTTAATTTATTATTCTACTTTCCTAATGGATGTTAACCTCAATTATTTTTTCCCTTAAGATAG